TCTTTGCATGGAGAGTCCCAGAGCAGGAGGGTCACTCAGGAAAGGACTGGGCCAGGGTGTCCCACCTGAACTGTGGACCATGGGCCTTCTCTACTTGTGACATGGACATCCTGCTGGCAGCAGCCTCACAGCGAAAGAATGACATCAACATTGACATTGGCTGACTTCATGACAAGCCCTGGGCAGGGAGTCCCTGAGGTCCAGCACCCTCCTCACATGCTCCTTTGCCTGGGCCCACAGAGCTTGAGTCTGGCTTTGATGAAGCCCCAGGCCAGAGCTCCGCCCACAGGTCCCTCTGCTTAGTGCCTGACCTTCTTGTCCTCCACTGCCACCTTTTGTGGCCAGTAAATGTTACAAAAACTTTACAGGTAAATGCCTAGAGGCACCCCGCTCTGCTCGTTGTAAGTCATGACCCGAAGGAATCCAACTTTCCTACTCAACTGGTAAGTGCTAACAGGCACCCCAATCCACCAGGAAGACCCCCTCCTGCAAAAACTCCGCTTTCACCACCCTCACACAAACCCCGTCAGCACCCGCTGCCTCATGCTGGTCTCCATCTTTGCATAGGCCTCCTGGTTCTGCTGTTTCTAGGTCCTGGGCTTCACCACCTGCACTGTTCGTGGTGTTAAATGCCTGCTTTCCTCCTAACCCTCACCAGAATTGCCTTCACATCTACAATTCCACAAAAAGTCTTTCAAAGCAACCCAGGCACTTACCATTAAGCATCTGAAGACTCCCCTCTACTCATCATCTAATTCCAAAGCCACTTTCACGTGGGAAGCATTTGTTAGAGTAGAGCTGACTCTCTGGGAACCAAACTTCATCTCGATTGTCTCATGCTGCTGTGACAGAAATACGACAAGTTAACAAACTGAATTCATTCTCTTACAGTTTAGCCAACCTAGAAATCCAAATGCAAGGTGTCAGCTCCGGGAGAAGGCTCTGTCTCTCGCTGTCTGCTGTGGAGGAAAACCCTTGTTCCCTCAGCTCCTGCAGACTCACGGCTCCTCAGAGATAGCCATGTGTCTGAGCTTCTCTGGTGTCAAAGGTTTTTCAAAACATCCTAGAGAGTCCAAAGGGGTCATCAATTCCCGGTGGTTATTTCCTGGGGGGTCTGGAAGCCCAGCTTCTCTGCTCAACTCCTGGTGGTCATTTCCTGGGGGACTGAGAGCCCAGCTTCTCTGCACCATTCCACCCCTTTCAACTCTAGTGAGACAAAGGGTTTTACAGGCTACTGCCTAGAACATTTCAAGATCTCTCCTGACGTATAAGGCTGTCAGGGATAGGAGAATAGCCATACCAGAAAGACCACCAATAAAGCTATTCAAACTTACACATCAACTACCAAGTCAAAGATGAAGAAATTGCGTTTATCTTCATTGTTACATTGTCAAGATAAATTAACAGTAACTAGTGGTTGAAACGCAAAAGTTGGAAATAGAGAAAGTTAGTTAGAAAATATAGCCTTGGTGATATAAATTAGACTGGACAATATATGATATAATTTTATACGATCAGTGACTTATTAATTACAAGTGCCTTTTCTTTAACAAAAACCAAAAACCTACTAATACACAGGAACCAAAGTGCTACATCTGTAGAAAGAAACAATTTGGGCGGGTGAGTGGAAAAGCTTCATCAGTCTCTCAGTAGACACAACAAGGGCAGAGGCCAGCGCAGAATAGACATCAATAGTTCACTTGCAAGTTCAAACTGAAACTGAAATCATGAAAACCAATCCACATGAGACGGACAACCACCTTGTGTTTGTCTCACCTGGATTGAGAAATCATCTCAAGAACAGCATTAAGTACAAAGAACACTAACTTGTGGGGTGGCATCGAGCACAGAGAGTAAAAGGTAATTTTAAAAATGGGAAAGAGAAAAAACAAAAGTGGAGGTCGGAAGAGACTGAAACTTCCTTTAGAACACAGAGGAGCCAAAGAAGAAAAAGTGATGAAGAGTTAAACAGATTTCAAAGAACAGCTTCTTGTTATTGTTGTTAGGTGCTGTCGAATCATAGACGACTCACAGCGACCCTATGAACAGAAGGCCTGAGGATTGTTCATAGAGTTTCCGGAGGCAAGCCATTTCAGAAGTGGAAGCCACTCCTGCTTCCAGGCTTGTTTCAAACGGGGAGCTACACCAAACACTGTCCACCATGGGTAACCATTATTGCATTTGACACATCAGTGTCATGGTGTTCAGCCTCACAGCAACCACGAGTTACCTCTGTACAGCAAATGGACAGACCAGTGCTATACCACCTAGAAGAATGTTTGACAGAAAAACAATGTGAACCAGGCCTGAGGGCTGCAGATTAGAATCACCCACCTTGGGCTTGGTAGTGTAACTTTCTGTCCACTGGGCCAACGTAGCTCTCTCTATGTTGTCGTTGTTTAAGAATAGCTTAAGAAGACAAAATAAAGTTTTATAGTGAAATAAAGACTTGTAGTTAGAAGTCCAAAAGGTAATAATACATTTGCGTTTCCCAAGCTAAAAGGACTAATCCAAGCTTCCAGTTGCAATACTCAACAGATTTGGCCCCATCCTGTGCCATCCTCATTGTGTCTAATACATGGCATTGCCTCTGATCCGCTAGAGCCCATTGTTACAGGCACTGTCTTCTAACAGATCTTTTTGGCAGTCCATGGTATATTTAATGATCTTTATCAACACCCAATGCAAAAGCATCATTTCTTCTTTGATCTTCCTTGTTTATAGTCCAGCCTTCACATGCAAAGGAAGCATTTGCAAATACTCGGGCCAGGTGCACCTTTTCTCCACCTTCCTGTTGTATAGCGGTTTCTATGAGGCCTAGTCCACCCCACGTCACCTAACAAAGACAAAATAGTGAAAAACTTGCTGGTAAGAGGGCCTAGTGGCTAAAAGCTACACTGAAATCGCTAAGACACGTGGTTCAAGGCCACCAGATGCTCTTCGGAAGAAGATTGGACAATCTGTGCTATTGGGTCGATTCCTACTTTATGGTTTACGTGCGCGCACACACACACAAGTTCAAGAAAACAAAGTATTGTAGTTAAATATGCAGAGATTTGGAGTTTCTAAAAAAACCAAAACACTTGTTAACACATGTATACACATATAATTACAAAAACATTGATTTCATTCTTCCATTTTCTAGCTACTCTTTTCCAGACTTTAAAGAAAAGCAAGCAAAAGTCTTCCTCTTAATTTGTTCTTAAAAATCCCCAGATGATAGGTGGAGTGAGGGTGAAAGAAAAGGGAAAGATTCAGTGAGAAAAACAAAGTGCACAAACTTTGCGAATGAAGCAGTATAAAAGAGGAAAAAATCCCCAGAAGACAGCAACCCACACACGTGGATGCCATTTGCCGAGAAACAGCCGCCAGGGGGCGTGCTGGGCACGCGCCGGGCCCGAGCCGCTGCGCCTGCGCGGCGCCAGT